TTCTGGACCCTATTCGGAAATTGGCATCTTTTGAAATTTGTGTGAAATTGGCAAAATTGCTAAATTCTGACCACTTTATTGGATAGTTGAAATCTGTAAATGGGTGGTTTCTTGTACTCATTCGATAGAAAAAATGGAGTTGTAGTGAAATATTTATTATTTTTGTCGACTAGTACACTGGAATTGGTCGAAAATAGGGCTCAAAGTGGGCAAAATCGCCGCTGCATAAACATCGTCAGACCGCTGACTTTGTGAGAGCGTAATTCCATAAGTTTTCCATCAAATTTCATACTTTTGGTGTCATTATGATCGGGAAAAGATTCTCTATCTTTTCATAAGAAAAAATAAGTTTTTTTTTTTTTTTAATTTGGGGACCCTGAGAACAAGTCTCGGAGAGGGCCTGGGGACCCTGAAAGGGTTAAGGACTTCAAGTAAGAAATTCCACTCTGGGGTTACTTCCCTTTCTCTTTTAATGCCACTAGGACCAGCTTGAGAGTCACTGCACCCCTGTTGCACAGAATATCTGTCCAGAGAGGTCTGTTTCTGGTGTCTCTTTAAGATTTGTCTGAAGCGGGGCAAGGTTCTGTCACTGAACATACTGCAGATATGGCTTGTTTCAGCTTGGTCAGGGTGATATTTCTCAGCAAAAGCTTGCACCCTACTCCACATTGCACAAATTTCCTTAATCTCTGAAGTAGACACCACCTTCCCTCTCTCTTCCTCCTCTGAAGCAAGTTCCTCATCTGCAGTCTGATGCTGTTTGAGTTGAAGGTCTTGCAGCTCTTCATTGGTTAGCTCTTCCCTGTGGTCTTCCACCAACTCTTCCACATCCTCGTCACTCACATCCAACCCCATGGACTTCCCCAATGATACAATACGTTCCATAACAGGCAGAGGGTCGACAGGGTCAGCCTCAAACCCTTCAAAATCCTTCTCGAGGACACAGTCTGGCAACAATTTTTCTAAGCAGAGTTCTAAGTCCTGGAAGTCACTTCCTGCCAAACCTTACCTATAAGGCTTATGCAATGGAAGATATTGAAGTGATCCCTCCAGCACTCTCTTAGGGTCAGTCAGTGTCCGAGGTCACTTCAAAGCACCTTTGAAACATTGCATTGGTGTAGAGTTTTTTGAAGTTAGAAATGGCCTGCTGGTCCATGGGCTGGATGAGAGGAGTGGTGTTAGGAGGCAAGAACTTCACTGTTATAAAAGTGAAGTACCTAGACAATTGGTCTTCCAAATCTGGAGGATGAGCAAAAGCATTGTCCATTACCAGGAGGCACTTGAGTGGCAATTTCTTTTCCAGGAGGTATTTTTTCACACTCAGGCCAAACACATCATGGACCCACTCTCTGAAAATTTGCCGCATTACCCATGCCTTATTATTTGCTTTCCACATCACACACAATTTACTCTTGAAGACATTGTTTTTCTTGAACTCTGGGATTTTCAGAGTGATGCACCAGTAAAGGCTTCACTTTGAAATCCCCACTAGCGTTAGCACAGAAAAAGAGAGCTAGCCTGTCTTTCATAGGCTTGTGTCCTGGCAGTGCCTTTTCCTCCTGCATGATATAGGTCCTCTTTGGCATTTTCTTCCAAAAGAGGCCTGTTTTGTCACAATTAAACACTTGTTGGGAGAGGAATTCTTCAGCCTCTACATACCCTTTGAATTCATGCATGTATTTTTTAGCTGCAAGTTTGTCTGAAGTTGCAGCCTCACCATGCTTTACAACACTGTATGTCACTACACTTCTTAAATCTGTCGAACCATCTTCTGCTGGCCTTAAATTCGCTAACAGCAGCACTCGTTCCAGGCATTTTCTTTACGAGATCCGCATGTAACTGCCTTGCCTTTTCACAAATGATCAACTCCACAACACTATCTCCCACTAACTGTTTTTCATTGATCCACACCAACAATAACTTCTCCATATCTTCCACTGTTTGTGATCTCTGTTTTGTTAGCACATTCACCCCTTTCACAACTTTAGCTTTCTTGATTTCCACTTTCTTTGCCAGGATGAAGAAGATTGTTGATTTCAACTTCCCATACATCCTAGCAAGCTCAGCTAAACAAACTTGCTCTTAGTGTTGAAGAATTTTCAAGAAAAAAAAAAACTATTTTTCTTATGATAGAGAATCTTTTCCCAATGGCAATAACACCAAAATTACAAAATTTGATGTAAACTTATGGAATTCCGCTCTCGCAAAATTAATGGTCTTGGTGATATATACGCATTGGCGATTTTGCCCACTTGAGCCCTATTTTTGGCCAATTCCATTGTTCCAGTCGACTAATCTCATAGTTATTTCACTAGAACTACATTTGTTCTATCAATTGAGTACAAGAAACCACCCATTTACTGATTTCAGCTACCCAATAAAGTGGTCAGAAATTGGCAATTTGGCCAATTTCAAACAAATTTCAAAAGATGCTAGTTTCAAAATAGGGTCCAGAATAAACACTGCAGACATTCCTGGCACTAAAATAACATTTTCTTTGTTCATTAGTCACATCTCCAGGTTCCTCCTATATTACTCTTGCTTTCCATTTCGAATTTTTATTCGCACAAAAAAAAAAAAACAGAAAATTTACTGTTATTTAGACTACTGCATCATTGTAATAATAGTATAAATAATGTCAACCCATTCGTGAATGCATATTAGACTGGCTAGTTGGGCACGTATTGGATGGTGACGTCATTTGTTTACTCGGTAAAAATCGAACATTTCCACTACTTTGAGCTCAATTTCAACGTACGTACAGTGGTACCTCGAGTTTTGACCAGCTCCCAACTTGAACAGTTATGCAAGTGTATTTTTGTAAGTGCATTTTTGAGGGTCTGAAATGGACTAATCTAATTTACATTATTCCTTATGGGAACAAATTCGTTCGGTATCGGCACTCGAACAGCCTTCTGGAACGAATTAAGTTCGTAACTCAAGTTACCACTGTACTTTTCATCGTGAAACCTATCAAAATCATCTCTATTTCTGTAATATATCTTCCATTCTATCATATGAGATCAAGAAAACCAGAATACAACCATAAATATGTACTATGCGAAAATACACCTCAAAGTCGGCATTTTAAACCAAAAACATAGAGTTTTTTTTTTTCTCATGCACTGCGTGCTGCAGGACTTTTTTATACCGCACACACTGACCACGCAGACCCATTCTCTAACAAGTAGGTCTACCAGCTTTCTCCCGCTAGATTTGAAGCCACTAGAATTTTGGTATAATACTACAGCACCAACACTGGCTTGCAAGCTGTAGTACTACGGCACCAACGGTGAAAGAGTTAATGACTGTTTATCGTTAATTCAGGGGTCAGGGAACTGGAGTAAATTACCCCAAACGGGGTAAAAATGAAAATCTTGGGGGTAATGAAGGCTCACTAAACATGTATATAAAATTGCACAAAAATTTATTATTTAATAAACAAGACAAATTACAAAGGTTATATTTTTCAAACAAATAATTTGTAGTTTCTTAATAAAATTAAAAATCTAGTTTGTAGGGACCATTTCTTAAGTTGGCAGTGATGTAAAACGTGTAAGGACTGCAGCAGCTGGCAACACCACGAGTGTTAGCAGTGACTCGGGAACCGGCACAACAGCCGCATGTCCCATTGTTGACACACCATCACCTAACTTTTGGCCTAGTGTCCTATCTCGCTATCAATAATTGTTTCTGTTTGCAGTTATAGGGCATCTTACCAAACTCAGAAAGCAGTTCTCTGATTACTTTCCAGATCTTGATTCACATACTGTGGGTTGGGTTGTGAATCCCTTCAATTGTGAAATTGCTGATGTGCCAGAAGAGCCTGAAGGATTGGCAGAGGCACTTCTTGAACTTCACTCCAACAGTGAAGCATACATTGAATTTCAGAACAATGAAGACCTGTCCATTTTTTAGATGTCAAGAGTTGCAAAGGCTTTCATAATTGCACACAAGGAAGCAATAAAAATACTGCTGTCATTTGCAACTATGTACCTATCTTTGCAAACAAGGAATTTCCACTTCATTAACTTGAAAACAAAGTCCAGAAATCAGTTGAATGCCAAAGAACAGTACCCAAATTGCTCTGACATCAAAAAGTCCTAATTTTGATGATGATGTATCAAAAATGAAACAACATCATTGCTTCAGAACCTGAAGTGAAAATATTTCTTTAGTTCCTTAATTATATTTTTATTTAATTTGTCTGTTACTATTTTTTATTTCATGCAGTTTATTTTCATTTTATTATTTTGTTAATTTTGTGTTTTATTTTTAAAGTTGCTTTATTGCATATATTACATACTTTTCAGTTTGTATGACTATTCTTCATGCAAATGGATTCAATAAACTGTTTTGAATCTGAATGTTCCTTGTGTTTTTCCGGATTTGTGAACTTTCAAGTCTAGTGGGTAATTTCGCTGTATATAAATTTGTTTGTATACAGTGAAATTTGTTTGTATACCCCTGCATTAACCCAATCAATCAACACAGGAGTTCCACAAAGTAGTGTCCTGGGGCCCTCTGCTGTTTCTTATCTACATCGGTGACCTTCCTAATGCTTCATAGGGACATAAGATAATTCTGTTTGCAGATAACACTTTCGTCACTCCAAATGCCAATTTGGCTGCACTTAACACTGTAAATGCTTAACTTGCAGATACCTTCTATATAATGTTTGGGAACAAAGCTAAAAATGTTCAGTAGACAGGATAACGGTAAATTAATGAGAATACATTTGGATATCAAACTTAAATTCAACATTCGTCTCCAGAAAGGCTTTATGTGATGCTTTTGGTCATTATATTTATAAAGCGACAATAACTAGGATAAAGTATTTTCCCTTTTATATCAGGATACTGTGGATAATTGTTTTTAGAAAGTTACATTATATGTATTAAGCTTTGGAAATTCATAACAGCTATATTTCAGTTACTTTAAATACTTTTTGATATACTACTGCATATTTTTTTATATTTTATAATTCATCTGTATTTCAGATACTTCTATCATGAAAATAATTTAAATGCACACATTGCAACAAAACATGACCAGACAAGGATTTATCAGTGTGGTGTATGCGACAAGAGACTTTCCACCAAGGTATGAATGTGATTTTCTCTCTACTTCCAGCCATTACCCACACATTCTCTTTGTGGAATTCTGATGCAACTTCTCTTGATTTCCTTAAAGCTTTTTTCAAAACCTGTTTTCATTTTTCTTATTGTAGCTGATTTTTTAATTGTATTTAGCTCATTGATTTTATCTTTCTGGCTTATTTCCATGAGCATTACACTTTTAAACAATTGTAATATCTTAAGTATTCTTTGTACATAGTGTTAGAAGACCAAATTAGTAAAACACCTTGAAACGTGTATACTATCGTAAGACACTGGCATATATTCTTTCAACACACCGGCCATATCCCACCAAGGCGAGGTGGCCCAAAAGGAAAAATTAAAGTTTCTCCTTTCAAATTTAGTAATATATACAGGAGAAGGGGTTACTAGCCCCCTGCTCCCAGCATTTTAGTCGCCTCTTAAAACATGCATGGCTTACGGAGGAAGAATTCCGTTCCACTTTCCCATGGAGATAAGAGGAGATCAACAAGAACAAGAACTAGAAAGAAAATAGAAGAAAACCCAGAGGGGTATGTATATATACGCTTGTACATGTATGTGTAGTGTGACCTAAGTGTAAGTAGAAGTAGCAAGACATACCTGAAATCTTGCATGTTCATGAGACAGAAAAAAGGACACCAGCAATCCTTCCATCATGTAAAACAATTACAGGCTTTCGTTTTACACTCACTTGGCAGGACGGTAGTACCTCCCTGGGTGGTTGCTGTCTACCAACCTACTACCTAGGACTGGCATATATATCATTAAATATCAAAAGTGATTAAAAAAAAATTAAAAATAATCATGGTTTGGAGTCAAACTGTAAAATATAAATATCGCTGGCACATCTTCTCCTCTGTTATCAATGAGTAATCATTTTTTTCCATCTTAAGGAAGGGGGCGAGCCTTTTTTCAGTGATCAGGACATTAAAATTGAAAAATTATGGAAAAAAATGTTTTCTTACTGAAAAATTGTGCAAAATTTTGGCAACATTTTGATGTAATCAGCTTGTTTCTATCATATTTCTAAGTATGTTTTTCATTAAATGTATTTTTTTTTCTTCTGCTGTCAGCAAAAATACATGTTGGCAATTAGCCTTTTTTTTTTTTTCCTCCCAAAATTACGATTTTTATTATTATTTCATTGTAAATACTCTACATGGCAACTTGTGTGCTGGCTAGTGTGTGGAGAGCAGACAGTAAGTCCCTCAGTAGCCGGCAGGCTGTAAAGAAGGTAGGAGGGGTGTAGCACACTGAAAGTTGGCACACCACTTCCCTCGAGTTTCACACACCAAAAAATAAAATAAAAAAAAAACTTGGTAATAAGTTATTGATATTGTAATCCCTCTCCTGCGATAAGTATTCATTGGATTGTCATGATTTTTGCAGACATTATTGAGGAATGATGGTTCTACAAACACCCAGGGAGGATTTGTCATATTGTGAACAGCTTTTTGTTAATGATTTTTTCCTCTTAAAAAAAAATTTCAACATTTTTTTTTATGGAATCTACTGACATTATCACTAAACTGCTCTGTGTCATTATTAATCTAGTCTTTATCTTTCATCTGATGTCAGCTAGAGCATTGTACATCTTCACAATTTTGTAGAAACTGGAAAGTCCTAGGACCCATAAAATTGTGCAAAAAATAATATTTTTTTGTCTAACTTGAAGGCTAACAGTCAAAACGCTGTATAGCCCTTGTGGCTTAGCGCTTCTTTTTGATTATAATAATAATAATAATAATAACAGTCAAAACAAACACAGCCTATATTTTTTTTTTAAGCTGCTTGATCCATTGTCACAATCCCATTGAAATCTGATAAAAAACAAAAGTTGGTGATTCTGCTCGCCTCTCCCTTAACCTTTTGAGGGTCCATCTCGTACTTCTACAGCTTTGAAGTTAGGGTCTGAGCCATAGTTTTCCGCCATGAGCTCAGTTCACTCAAATAAGCTGTGAGCAGTAAATTTGGGCCTGGATATGAAAGAGTGGGTCTATGTGGTAAGTGTGCACCATATAAAACAAATTCTGCAGCACGCAGTGCATGAGAAAAAGAATGCAACCATGTTTTTGGATTAAAACAGCGACTTTGCAGTGTATTTTCATATGGTTTTTACAGTTGTATTTGCGGTTTCTTGGTCTCATTTGATAGAATGAAAGATATATTACAGAAATAGAGATGATTTTGATTGAATTTAGTACTGAAAATAGCTTGAAATTGAGCTCAAAGTAGTGGAAATGTTCAATTTTTGCCGATGTTCAAGAGTAAACAGATGACGTCATGCTTCCAATACACATCAACTGGTGGGTCTAATATATGTTCACAAATTCACTGATATTATTTATACAATTATTACAATATTGCATAACAGTAAATCTTTTATTTTTTGTTGTGAATAAAAATTCTATATGTAAATAAAAAATCAAAATGAAATTCATGTGTAAAGCCTGGAAACATAACTAATAAACAGAAGAAATGTTATTTTAGTTCCAGGAATACCTGCATTGTTTATTCTGGACCCTATTTTGAAATTAGAATATTTTAAACTTTGAAATTGGCCAAATTGCCAATTTCTGATCACTTTATTGGGTAGTTGATTGGGCAGTTTCTTGTGCTCAGTCAATAAAATAGAAGTGATACTAGCGAAATAGCTAGGAATTTATTCATCTGAAATAATGTAATTGGCATAAAATAGAAATCAGAGTGGGCCAACTTGCTGATTCATAAATATTGCTGACACAGTAAAATTTGTGATAGTGTAATTTTGTCAGTCTTCCATCAAATGGTAGATTCTCTACCATTTCATAAGAAAAAATAACAATTTTTTTTTTTAAATTCTTGGACCCTCTGGACAATGCGTAGAACTATGGCTTGGACCCTCGAAGGGTTAAGCACACCATAAATTATAAGTTTTTATGATATTCCACTCATTTTAGTATTAATTGTTTTATAAATAATGCACCCTTTCATTTTTTTTTTTAACAAACTGGCTGTATCCCACCAAGGCAGGGTGGCCCAAAAAGAAAAATGAAAGTTTCTCTTTTTAAATTTAGTAATTTATACAAGAGAAGAGGTGACTAAGCCCTGCCCCTGGCATTTTAGTCGCCTCTTACAACACGCATGGCTTACAGAGGAAGAATTCTGTTTCACTTCCCCATGGAGATAAGAGGAAATAAACAAGAACAAGAATTAGAAAGAAAATAGCAGAAAACCCAGAGGAGTGTGTATATATATGCTTGTACATGTATGCGTAGTGTGACCTAAGTGTAAGTAGAAGTAGCAAGACGCAACTGTAATATTGCATATTTATGAGACAGACAAAAGACACCAGCAATCCTACCATCATGTAAAACAAGTACAGGCTTTCGTTTTACACTCACTTGGCAGGACGGTGGTGCACCCTTTCATACTGCAAGAAAAACTTTTTTTTTTTCTCTCAGAATGTGGCCACACACGAATTTCTTTCTGGACATGCGACAGTTAAGAGATTAACACACCTAAGACTTTATACACAGATAACCTGTACGTAGGAGAGGGGAGCTTATGACAACGTTTCGGTCCGACTTGGACCATTTACAAAGTCGCACTGAGGCCTTTTTGTTATTTAACCTAAGATTTTAATAAATTGCCTCTAGTAAAAAACTCAGAGCTTACATTTACAATTGAGACTGCTCAACAAGCCATCTGATACAGTGCTGAAGCACATGTTTATTATCTCTTTGTGAAGAGGTACAGTCATTTTTTTGTAAAACATTGGCAGTTTCCTACCAAGTTGTTTGAAAATGCAGAAAGAGCACAACAAAAGTATGGCAAGACCACAAACATATGTTAGCCGCAGAAAAATAACTTACCACTTATTAATCACACCTGTGTGCTGTATTATCTTCCATAATAATAGTAATAAGTAATACATATTTTATGAAAAAGAGGATAAATAAGTATACAAGGTATGATATAGCACGTAATGAAAGTAGTTTGTTAGATTATGTGTTGGTGGATAAAAGGTTGATGGGTAGGCATCAGGATGTACATGTTTATAGAGGGGCAACTGATATATTGGATCATTATTTAGTTGTAGCTACAGTTAGAGTAAGAGGTAGATGGGACAAAAGGAAAATGGCAACAAGAAGTAAGAGAGAGGTGAGAGTGTATAAACTAAGGGAGGAGGAAGTTCAGGTGAGATATAAGCAACTATTGGCAGAAAGGTGGGCTGGTGCAAGTTTGAGTAGTGGGGGGGGTTGAAGAGGGTTGGAATAGTTTTAAAAATGCAGTATTAGAAAGTTTGTGGCTATAGGAGGGTGGGTGCAGGAGGAAAGAGGAGTGATTGGTGGAATGATGAAGTAAAGGGTGTGATAAAAGAGAAAAAGGTAGCTTATGAGAGGTTTTTACGAAGCAGAAGTGTTATAAGAAGAGCAGATTATATGGAGAGTAAAAGAAAGGTGAAGAGAATGGTGAGAGAGTGCAAAAGGAGAGCAGATGATAGAGTTGGAGAGGCACTCTCAAGAAATTTTAATGAAAATAAGAAAAAATTTTGGAGTGAGATAAACAAGTTAAGAAAGCCTAGAGAATGAATGGATTTGTCAGTTAAGAACAGAGTAGGGGAGTTAGTAGATGGGGAGCGAGAGGTATTGGGTAGATGGCCCGAATATTTTGAGGAACTTTTAAATGTCGATGAAGAAAGGGAGGCGGTAATTTCATGCACTGGCCAGGGAGGTATAACATCTTTTAGGAGTGAAGAAGAGCAGTATGTGAGTGTGGAGGAGGTGCATGAGGCATTACATAGAATGAAAGGGGGTCAAGGAGCTGGACCTGATGGGATCATGACAGAAATGATAAAAGCAGGGGGGTATATAGTGTTGGAGTGGTGGGTATTTTTGTTTAATAAATGTATGAAAGAGGGAAGGTACTTAGGGATTGGCAGAGAGCATATATAGTTCCTTTATATAAAGGGAAGGGAGACAAAAGAGATTGTAGAAATTA